CATCAAAGTAAAGATTCCATCTGCGAGGTGCTTGCTTTAATCCATAAATGGATTTCTCAAGCTTACACACTCTATTAGGGTACTCGTTGCTGACAAAACCTTCTGGCTGACTCATGTAAACATCTTCAGTCAACTTTCCACTAAGGAAAGCGGTTTTGACATCCATTTGCCAAATTTCATAGTCATGAAATACAACTATGGCTAACATAACCCTAATAGACTTAATCTTGGCTACTGGAGAAAATTTCTCATCATAATCCACTCTAGGAATTTGAGAGAAGCCTTTTGCAACCAGTCGAGCCTTATAAGTGTGTACATTACCATCCATGTCGGTCTTCTTCTTGAAGATCCATTTGCACCCTACAGTCTTACGACCTGGTACATTCTCAACCAAGTTCCAAACTTGATTGTCATACATGGATTGTATCTCGCTATCCATAGCCTCTTTCCATTGAGCAGACTCGGCGCCTACCATGGCTTCCTCTTAGCTGTTAGGGTCATCCAGACCTACTAGTGTCCCATCACTAATAAGTTTCTCACCTTCTGCAGTAATATGGAAACCATACTAATGCTCAGGTGCATTCCTAACTCTCATGGAACACCTCAGAGGTACAAATTCGTCAATTGGCTCAACAGGAGTTTCCTCCTCAAGTTGAGGGATAGCGTTTGAAGTTCCTTCACCACTTGACTCTTGAATTTCTTCAAGATCAATTTGCCTCCCACTTTCTTCTTGGCTTATAAACTCTCCCTCTCTCTCAAAAGACTCCTCTTCTTGCTACAAAGACCTCATTATCACTAGGTCTGTAGAAGAGGTAACCAAAGGATCTTTGTGGGTAGCCGATGAAAATACACCTCTCGCTTCGGGGTTCTAGCTTGCCATAAGTCTCGCGCCTCACAAAAGCCTCGCAACCCCAAATCTTGATATGGTCTAGTTTGGGTACTTTACCAGTCCAAATCTCATGAGGAGTTTTGGCAACTTTCTTTGTAGGGACTAGATTAAGGATATGGGCAGCAGTCTCTAAGGCGTACCCCCAAAACAAGATAGGTAGCGAAGCTCGACTCATCATGGAACGAACCATGTCCAACAAGGTTCGATTACGCCTCTCAGCTACACCATTCAACTGTGGTGCCTGGGACGTGTCAATCGTGAGACAATCCCACATTCCCTAAGATAGTCGAGGAACTCTGAACTAAGATACTCACCACCTCGATCGGATCGAAGCATCTTAATGTTCCTGCCCAATTGATTCTCGACTTCCTGTTTAAATTCCTTAAACCTTTCGAAAGTCTTTGACTTATGCTTGATTAAGTAGACATATCCATATCTACTGTAATCATCAGTAAAAGTCAAATAATAACGATTAGCATCCCTTGTGGCATGTTTGAATGGTCCACACACATCCGTGTGTACAAGGTCCAACAAACCTTCACCCCTTTCACAAGAACCTGTGAAGGGTGACTTTGTTATTTTTCCAAGTAAGCATGATTCGCAACTATCATCTGACTTTAGGTCAAACGACTCTAAAACTCCATCCTTTTGGAGTTGGCCTATGCGTTTCTTGCTTATATGTCCAAGACGACAATGCCATAGTGATGCTTTATCCAAGTTATTATTATTAATAGAATCAATACACAATACATTATTTCCTAAGTAATCAACCACAGATACTGTTTCATACACGCCATCACAAGGTAATGCTTTAAAATAAAGAACATTATTAAAGAAAGCATCAATAGAACCAACTTCATTATTAAATGAAAAGGTAAATCCTTGTTTATACAATGCATGAAAGGAAATAATATTTCTTGCCATTTCTGGCGAATAACAACATTTATTCAAATTTAAATTTAACCCACTACTTAGAGACAAAGTATAAACTCCAATCTTGGTGACAAGTGTAACTTTCCTATTCCCCATGATTAAGTTTATCCTTCCTTGCTCCACATTCTCACTTCTTCTTAGTCCCTGTAAATCAGAACATATATGAATACCACAACCGGTATCAAGGACCCAAGAATTAGAATGGGGTGAGTTATTAGAAATGATAGTGTAAATACCTGCATGGTTGGGTTTTACTTTTCCATCCTTCACATCTTGCTGGTACTTTGGGCAGTTTTGCTTCCAATGTGCCTTTTCATAGCAATAGAAGCATTCAGCCTCTTTTGGGTCAGAAGAAGGGGTGATGAAACCTTTATTGGTTCCACTTGAAGAAGAGCCATCAAGGGTCCTAACCTTGGTACCCTTCAAAGAACTCTTTCTCTTCTTCCCTCGTCCTTTCCCGATTGCCAAGACAGGGGTAGAGTTGGTAGGAGTAGGAGTAACAATCGCCTTACCCTTAAGACCACTTTCCACGCTCTTTAAGAGTCCTTGAAGTTTGCTGAGCGTGACCTCTTCCTTGTTCATGTGGTATGTCATGCGGAATTGATCATAACATGAAGGTAAGGAGTGCAAAATTATATCTATTGCTACCTCCTCAGGGAAGTTCACACTTAGCTTCAGCAAACGGTCCACAAATCTTTGCATTTTCTGCATGTGGCCCGTGATGGGTTCACCATCCTTCATGCGAGTTGTTATCATGGAGGAGATGATTTCATACCTTTCTTGACGAGCACTTTGATGGTATCTTTCCATCAAGTCTTGGTGCATCTCATAGGGGTAGAAATCTTCATAGGATTTTTGGAGATCAACGGTCATAGTGGCCATCATGATGCATGCCACTTTCGTGGCATCCCTTTCATGTGCCCTAAACTCAGTGATCTCTTTAGGAGTTACAACTGTCTCATCAATCTCCTTAAGCTCCTTATCGAGGACATATTCTTTGTCCTCGTAGCGGGTAATCATTCGGATGTTTCTGATCCACTCATTAAAGTTAGATCCATCAAAAGTGACTTTCCCACACAAGTTCATAAGAGAAAATGAGCCATTAGGATTAGAGCCAGAAGCAACAGTGTTTGCAGACATCTGAGAAGAAGAAACGTTTAGTTTAGAAATAGGAATAGTCCTTAATAAAACACTCAAATGTAGTATTAAGACTAGGACCCAATCACAATATATTATACTTAGAAGAGGTATGCCGTAATCTAAGTAATAACATATTTGAAAGGTAGGTGAATGACGATTCATCAATTTCCACCAAAGTCGAAATATTAAAATATTTAATTTGGTTCTTAGAAACTCCTAGATTCTTTTGAGATTCAATGAACTTTTCAAAGGCATGTTTCAATCTCGAGTGTGCCCTCCAAGTTTTATGACTGGGATGTCGAGGATCATAAAACGAGGTGTGAAGTAACCATGCAAATTACTTGGTACCCTTAATAAATTACCCCTCAATCGATGTGCCGGTTAACCACACACGCTCCATCGATACTATGATAAATATTAAGTCACCCTTTACCTACCTTGTTAAGTCCAAGTTAGTGTGTCGGTTAACCACACACGCTCCACTAACGACTTAGACAAAGTGTAAAGTGTAATTTCATGGATTAGCACCTTATTCACATTTTTCCTAAAGTAACTAAGATTGGGAATTTAATAAAACATTTAGTTACTTTATAATATTCATCATACTTTTAATGAGAATTTATAAGTCCTTGTCTTACCCGTTCGCCTAACGACCCTCCACTAGTCAAGCAAGCGGTGGGTGAGAGTAGACACCCATTAAGTTGCCATTTTATAGGCAACAACCTTATACCCACGTTATAGACCGGCTTCGTGAATGAGGCGTACTAGCGGTAAGACGACTTTGTTCTTATACATACATACATACATATATATATATATATATATATATATATATATATATATATATATATATATATATAATTATTAAATCATAATACTATAAGTATAAGGGTTGAATTTTATTTTTTTTTTAATTCTAAGGGCTGGAACTAAAGTTTTAATCAAGGCTTTACTTGTTCCAAAACTTGAGGGTAAGTTTTGTAAACTTTCAAAACTTTTCATTTCTTGTAATTTATGAGTTAAATGGAGTAATAAAATGAAGATTCTTCATTTTTCTAACTCTTGTGTTCTTTTAATGGTTTTTAATTCAAGTGTGACTCTTGGTTTTCCATAACTTGAGGACAAGTTATGGACTCCATTAAAACACATTATGATCAAGAATTAAACTACCACATAGGTTACAAATAATTCTTACGATCATCTAAACATCATAAGATCAAGAACATGAATATGAACACTTTCATGAATAAAAAATTACACATAAAACTTTGTAATTTTGATAACAAGTTGTTGTAAATGGATTAGCAAAGACATTACACCTTCTAAAACAAGTTTTCAAGTACCAAAACAGTTTAGGGTAATGTTTATAGTCCATTTCCAGCAACTAAAATCGAAATTCTGAAACTGCAGCTTCTACTAGTCGAGTGCATGAACATTTGCCTCAATGTATATTATGGTGATGTGTCTGCAAAAGTTGCATGATCTTGTACATATTGATGTTTTTTCTTATCCCATGAATTCAATCTTAAAGCCAAACAAACTCAAAAATCACAACACTTGTGATTCTACTAATTTGTAGACTTATCCAGAATCCATGATATGATAAATCATTTGATTGAAAATATAAATGTAGTCATGAAATACATCTGCTTAATTCAGATTTCCTTAACAAATATTCAAGCGTATTACAAAGTTGTGCATGTATGAATAATGTTTTTTTGTGGGTTATGTTTTGAAGAGAAACAATAATGAATCTCATAAAGTCATTAATATAAGCAATAGATGACATGAGTAAATGGTAAATGATTACGTAGGATAACTAGTTGTTGAGTTTGTTTTCATTTGATCATTTTTTTTCGTACTCAATATACCATCAAACTTGTTGTTTGTGTTCACCATAACCTTTGGTTGGCTATCACATATGATAGCTGATTAAAAGATTAAATGAAAACAAACTCAATAATTACTTACCCTCCAAAATTATTTTCCCAATTGAATATATAATTATGTAACATTATATGTGCATTAATGGTGTGAACGTAACCATTTGCAATGTTGTGATGGGGTGGGCCCGCTACGATGCTGGTGGACGGTGGTGGTCCTGGTTCCGGACTCCAGTGTATCTTTAGCATATATACCTTAAGCGTAAAATCATCATTTCCGTATCTGTGTCGTCCTCCCCATTATTATCTAAATCCTTTCAGCGAAGTAGTTGATTGAAAATGGCGACTGAAATTCGATCCTTTGATCTGATAAACAAAACTCAGATTCCATCATTAGGTCTTGGGACATGGCAATCGGAACCTGGTCTTGTTGGCCAAGCCGTCACTGCTGCCGTCAAGGTTCTCCCCTCTTTCTCTACTCCCTTTGTTCTCTACGTGAATAAGATTTGGATTTTAGTCAAAGTAATACTCTTCTCATCTATGCTTTCCTTGCTCGATGCTGATTTTGCCCAAACAATGCATCCTATGATTTGATAGTAGTCTGTAGCTATTGACTGGTAAATATGGTCTTAATTCTATTAAGTAGCTTTTCTTCCTTGAGCTATCATCAAAATAAGATTCCTCTTCACTTTGTGGTTCTTATTATTACTTTTTTTTTTGTTATGAAATGTGAAAGCAGACTTAAAGGTGTTTTGAGTGTTAAAGTTGGACTTTTGAGGCGAAAAGAATTAGCGTGGTCCAGAATTGATATGATTTTTAACTTTTGTTACAAATATCATCCAAAATCTTTGTAATTATTTAGAGTTTCTTGCAAGAAATAGGTATCTTGATTATTAAAATCTTTGTAATCATGTAGTGTTTCAAATTCAATCAATAAACTCTTAATATGTAAAAGTAAAACACAGGGAAAAAAGTAAAAGCACATATGATCTGATTACTATGTTTCTCTCCTCTCCTGCAGGCTGGGTATCGCCACATTGATTGTGCCCAAATTTATGGCAATGAAAAGGAGGTACGCAAATTTCACTAAAATTCCATTCATAAAAAATATTATATTTATATAACAAATCATCAACAGTTTTTATATATCTTTTTTGGTTTTCAAGATTGGTTTAGCTTTAAAGAAACTCTTTGAAGATGGCGTGGTGGCACGAGAAGATTTATGGATCACCTCTAAACTTTGGTTTGTTCTAACCCTTTTTTTTTGTACGTATGTTTAAATTCCATCTTTTATTAAATATTCAAAACCCTAAACTTTACAGGTGTAACAATCATGCCCCTGAAGATGTACCTATCGCATTAGAGAAAACTCTGAATGACTTACAGATTGAGCATCTTGATTTGTACCTTGTAAGTCTTCGATAATACAAAATTTTATATCATTTCATCATATCACTCAATCATTAACCAAATGAACCCATCTATCTATGATTCTATATTTCTATTCAAGATTCATTGGCCAGTAAGGACAAAGAAAGGGACAGCTGGCTTCAAACCTGAAAATCTGCTAAAAACAGACATACCTGCCACATGGAAAGCAATGGAAGCACTGTTTGATATAGGGAAGACACGAGGTTTAGGTGTTAGCAATTTTTCTTCAAAAAAATTGGGAGATTTGTTGAATGTGGCCCGCATTCCCCCTGTTGTGAATCAGGTTGAATGCCATCCTTCATGGCATCAAACCAAATTGAGGGAGTTTTGTAAATCTAAAGGCGTTCATCTCTCAGTAAGTCATCATAAACATGGCTTTCTCTGTTAAGTCGTTCTTTCTGTATTAAGTCAGATGGAAACAACTCAACAAGTGTCTTATTTTGATTTTGATTTTGATTTGAATAATAATAAATATTCAGGGGTACTCGCCACTTGGTTCACCTGGGACAAAATGGCTAAAGAGCAATGTACTTGAGCATCCAATTTTGACATCAGTTGCAGATAAATTAGGGAAGACTCCTGCACAAGTTGCCATACGTTGGGGTTTACAGATGGGTCATAGTGTTCTTCCCAAAAGTACAAATAAAGCGCGTATCAAAGAGAATTTTGCAGTTTTTGATTGGTTGATTCCTGATGATTTGTTCACAGAGTTGTCTAAAATCCAACAGGCAAGATTTCTCCTTTTTGCTTTATCTGTTATATAAAATTCAATTATTTACATATGAAGTTGGTTTTGATGCAGGCAAGACTTGTGAGAGGTGATTTTTTGGTGAATGATGTTTATGGTGAGTATAAAACAGTTGAGGAACTTTGGGATGGTGAGATTTGAGTTTTGAGGAATAGCTGAATATTAATAAATTAAGCTTAAAATGTGTTTCTTATTATTATATATAAGTTAAAGCACTCCTCGAATTTAAGCAATATCACGAAATAAGAAGGTGTTACATTATGTCGTTTGTTAAATTCTAGTATTTCATTTTCTGTTCCATGTTGTAAACGAGCAACTATTAATGCTCGAAAAAAGTAGATTTGATGATATTTCAAAAGCTGAAATGCTGTTTACATTTGTCACCATCATGTAAGGTTACATGTTTGTAATAATTATAATGAAGTTGCTAAGCAATGGGGTGTTGGATCATGGATGTGTGTTTAAGGTGATTATTGGGTTTTATTGTTAGGATGTGATTATAATGTCGTGATTAGTTGAAGTTAAAATAAACGGATTTGAGTAAGTGGGTGACAAAAAATAACGTAAAACTAACAATATTGACTTACCGGCCCAATGATGGAGCTCGTTAGTTGGGACTTGGGGGTTACAAAACATGTTTATTCTTTCTTTAAGCAAGGAATACATTGATTAATCCTAAAAAGTGTTATAGATATTCATACTTTTACAATTTTTTTAAACAAATAAAAGGCCATTACGTTTATCTCTATTTTCTAGTAATTACAAGCACAAGTTGGGTGAAACATATGGGTAAATTTGAAAATTGTAATTGAGTTAATTGATATATTTGTCCTTTCAACATTTTGTAATTTTTTCTGTTTTTCTTCTCGTGTCTTGTTTTGTTCTTTTAGGTTGTGATTTTTTTTCCCTGCCGTGTTCTTTTAAGTTGTGGTTTTTTTTTTTAAAAATAAAATTCTATCGTTTCCAAAAAACAAGCACAAGTTGAATGGAGCGTTTTTATTAGCTAAAGAGTTTTCCTTACTTTCCAGCGTCATCCGTTCGCATTGGCAGCGAGTGCATTGCCACAATATTATTCATCATTTTTTTATCTACATAAGCCAAAGCCAATAGCATTGGCGACGTCTCCAACATAAATGGACGGAGGATGTATAACGCACAAAAAAAGCCGTAATCGGTGTATTTTCTGAGGATGATAGCCTTTTTAGTTGCAAGTGCTATCTTAGATCCATTTTGAAATGTCTGTTTAGTAAGAATTTTTTTCAAGCGAAGGAAATTTTAAGCAAGAAAAATCAAACTTCAAAATCTCCTGCTACCATGTGATTCATTAAGGAATTCCTCATGAAAGGGAATTTCTCTTCTGCGGTGATGGTATTGAGTCCTTCATAATCCACATAAAATCTCAACACATCATTGCTCAGCTTTAGAGCACCATCTCAACATGTCATGCTAGTCTAATAACGATTCAAAAAAATCATTGTTTACCAAGTAAACCAAACCAAATAACCCAAAAAATAATTTTAAACCAACCTTATTTGGTTTGTTTAAAATTAGTTTGAAGATACTATAAAATCGATTAAACAAAATGAAATAAACAGAAATCCAATAAACTGATCTAATAACATTCCAACATAAAATGAAACTATGTAAGCATTTACTAGTTTACCAAAAAAATCTATAATTATGATTTGTTAATATTGATTGTTTAAGATTCAAATGATTAAATCTAAAAATCAACAAGAAAAACAATTGGTATAATGAAACATATAGTGACAGTCTATTGAGAGTATGTTGGAATATATATATATATATATATATATATATATATATATATATATATATATATATATATATATATATATATATATATATATAAAAGTTGATATACAATTATATATGAATTTATCCATATAATTTATAATCTCATGGAACTTATTAATATAACAAGTTATACATAAAATGAAAATGACTAGTAAAGATAACAAACTTTACTCTGGGGATACATTTAGTTACAAAAATCTGTTTTCCATGCAATGTACCATTAACTTGCTTAGGGGTTGTTTGGTAGAATCTGAATTTTTAAGTGGTCTGAATTTCTAAGATGGTCTGAATTTTTAAGATCTGAATTTATAAATGTGGTTTGTTTAGAACCTCTGAATTGCAGTGCTGAATTATAAAAATAACCATTTGCCCTTCTATGTTATTTTTTGCTAAATTCAATATTTTTGCTTATAAAATAACCAAATCAAACATAACACTATCATTTCGTGATTATACCCCAACCAACTAATTGCAATAATACAAGAAAATCAAGATTTTATATCACAAATGACAAACCTATTTCTTAATTGTGGCACCCAAAACAATCAAAACCTCCAATTCAAGAGCTTCACAGATCTTCACAATTCTTTCAACTATAAAAAGGGTACAATAGAGACTTGAGAGCTGATCCTTGACTGGTTTGACCTTCTATGGCTTTAAAGGAACTATTAGAGTTGTGGTTGGCAATGGGAGGGTATTTGCTGAACCATATATTGTTTTAATGGCATATAGTATTGGATCACTCTCTTCAACCTATTGAGGCACAATATAGCCAATTCCTGATGACAAGTTAATAGACAATGCATCAGAACAATAAGGAGTCATGATTTTTGATAAATTGAAGATTAATGAATGAGGTGAAAACAGATTATGGAAGCAATTTCAATAATTTCATAATGAAGTGAAAACAGAAGATGTCGTGTGTATCCCTGTACAAACATTGAAGAAAACATCAGCTTACATAGCAATTTCAATAATTTCATAATGAAGTGAAAACAAAATATGTCGTGTGTATCCCTGTACAAACATTGAAGAAAACACCAGCTTACATCTAATTCTAGTTTCTTTTCCTACAATTGTGCTGAGAAGACAACCATATCAAAATTTTCAATTGATACCCTGATTTCAAAAAAAAAAAAAAGGAAAAAAAGGAAAACAATGGTTTGATTTCAGGAATGATACTCTAATTTCAGGGGGAAAACTACGAGACTCAATTTTCAATAATTAAACTCGGATTGCAGAGCAAGAGAAAAAGAAAAATTTACCTATACAAGATGTCGGAGGCGAAGTCGGCGGCACCGGTGGCGTTGCAGATCAGATGCAGGCAATGAAATCGATTTTCAGAAGAAGAGAAACATACCTGTTGGGCAGAATTCGAAAACGAGTTTGAGCCAGAGGACGTGCGCCGACGTCGGCGTTGCAAAGTGCAACATCGTCGACGTTTTGGGTGGACGTGAGCCTCGTCGGAATCTTGGTGGTGAAGAGAAGCAGACGCGAATGGGAGCACACACGAAGGGAAGGAAAGGCGATGAAGTGTTTGTCGGTCTTTCTTTAGGGCAAATTAGGTAGGCGTCATTTTTTTTAATTTTTCAGACCTTGTTCAATATCTGAAAAAATAAGAGATAATTATAAATTTAAGAGGTAAAAAATAAGATGCAAACAAACGATCTGAATCTGAAATTTTAAGATATTGCCTCTTAATTTTGCAATTAAGTATGGATGGCAAAAAAACCTGAACCCGACGGGGAAACCCGAAACCCGATTATTTCGGGTCGGGTAACGGATCGTTTTCAGGTTTTTTATCGGGTTCGGGGTAGGGAGTGGGTTATCATCGCCCCGACCCGATCCGCCCCGATTATATTGTGGACAATCTTTTTAGTTATTAACAATCCGGTGTGAATGTTTTTTTTTTTTATGTTTTGACGTATTACACTAAAATTAAATCAAATAAGTTTTAGCATAACGTCGAGTTAATTTTATTAAAGTGATTCATCATATTTTTAATTTAAAAGGGAGAGTACAACATGTATTTTTTTAAGACATCGGGGTACCCTTAAACGGAATAAGGATTTCGTTATGAATTATTGTAAACCCGATAAGATACCCGAAACCCGACGGAAAAACCCGAACCCAACGGGACGCCCCGATAAGATACCTGAAAGATATCGGGACAGATTTGGGAAACCATGACCCGCCCCGAACCTGCCCCATTACCATTCCTACAATTAAAAGGTAAACAAACGGACCCTTAATGTGTTAAAGAGATATGATATGACCGTCTATCAAAATGACAACATTCTCAACTTATCATGAAGCTTGAGATAAGGATGAAGGTTCCAGGAAAAATTGGAAGTGGTAGTAGTCTACGAAAAGCAAGTTGAGTTAGATTGATTTTTGGGAAAATAATGTTTTGTGAGTTAGCAATATACACAACCTTTGTTGAACTTTATGGTTAAAGACAAACTTGTAGCATTATTATTATTATTATTATTATTATTATTATTATTATTATTATTATTATTATTTAGCACAATAAACCATTAAGAACTTATAATAAAAGATTATATTGATTTTTTTTTTTAACACGACAAGTTCAATAGTAAATCATATAAAAATAAATATGTACAGCAAATAAAGTTTATTATTCTTATATGTTATTAGTCCTTTAGATTTTTTTTGTCAATTTTTGTAAAAATTATAGATCAAATAAGAATAATAATCATTTTTAATTTTTTTCCACATAAAATAGGTAAAAAAATTAGAAAATAACCATAATAGTCACAATTTCCATGGGTCATCATCTACGAAAATCTAGGTGGCCAACGATTTTTTTTTTTTTTTTTGGCAGAACCCATATGATACGATGATTGTTATAAAGTTCGTTTGCGAAAGCTATAATTTTATTTTTTTCAATAATTTTCACCGAATATCTAAATTTGGAGTTAAAAGGTATGACTTTCCGATATCCAAATTAAGAGTGTAATGGGACCATGGACAAACCTTATTAAATAGAACATAATGAGAAAAAATTGAATGAAAACGGAGTTTGTATGCGAAAGTTAATATTAAAGTTATGTTTTTAATTTTTGTTTTCATCGAATAGCCTACTTTGGAGCTCAAAAATATAACTTCCGAACATCCAAATTTAGATGTAAAGTATTAATGTAAAACTTAGTTACAATGAACACAATGACAAAGAACCAACTTAAAAAAACTTGGTATATAGAAGTTAGGGGTGAATATTTGGACTTTCAGGACAGGAAATCAGATCTGAACCTGATAAGGCTCAACAAGTTCGGTTCAAGGTCCATTAATTTCTATAAAATCAGTTCGGTCCAAATACTAACCCATACATCCAAGAATTAAGAACTTGATCTAAACCTAAACTTATTAAGCCTCAACATGTTATGTCTAATGTTCGCTAAAATCTTCAAAACCATTTTGATCCACAAACCGATCCGATCCAAATGTTCACCCTTAATAAAAGTTATGAAAGAAGTTATTTTATTTATTTATTTATTTTTGAGATTTTCCTAAAAAATCTCAAAACCAATCTTGAATATTTAATTTTTTTTTGAAATTTTAGCTATTTTATGAAATAAAACTTAGAAAATTTGGATAATAATAAAAACACCGCATACAAAATGACGAAAGGGTCCAGTCCCGCAACTAAACTCGCTATTTTCACAGGTGTTGCATTTGTAAACCAAACCCTAGAGACCACTGATCGCTACTGTATTCATCATCTTCTCATCATCGTGAAGCAATCATGGGTTCAGGTGAGGTTAAGCTTCATGATTTCTTAGTTACGGCTTCAATTTTAGTTAGTTAAATGTCCCATATGCAGAAACGCACAGGTGCCGCGGCTGTACAAAGTGTTTCTTGTGTAAGCATGTATTTACAATTTCTTTCTTCTTTCTCTCTCATTTAGATGCAGATATGGAGGATTATGGATTTGAGTACTCTGAGGAGGAACCTGAAGAGCAAGACGTAGACATTGAAAATCAATATTACAATTCTAAAGGTACTGAATCCCCTCAATACTTACTGTACACATCGATTTGGATTCTCATCTCCATATTGATTGCTACTCGTATCCTTACCAGTAGTGGAACCGGAAAGAGGGCGTGATTGTGTAATTGCCGAATAATTATAATGCTAGTTTTAGGGCAGAAAGCTAGATTAGATAATCGCATTAATACTACGACCGCTGTCTTATCTCTAAGCTTGTAACTATGATTTCTCTTGTAACGTCTTATATGGGTTATTGATTGGTGTGCCATTCTTTGTTTTTGAAGGTTTGGTGGAGACTGATCCAGAGGGTGCACTTACTGGTTTTGCTGAAGTAGTTCAGATGGAACCTGAGAAAGCAGAATGGTAAGTGTATTGGTCTTAAGTAGCTAGATTATGACATTAACAAAGAATCTAAGAAGCTAAAATTGGAGAAACTTTTATTGAATCATCACTTATGAAGTCGTTAATCATTCTTCTTTTATGTTTAACAGGGGATTCAAAGCACTAAAACAGACTGTGAAACTTTATTACCGTTTAGGGAGGTACAAGGAGATGACAGATGCATATAGGGAAATGTTAACCTACATTAAATCTGCAGTAACTCGAAATTACAGTGAAAAATGCATAAACAATATCATGGATTTTGTCTCTGGGTCTGCTAGTCAAAACTTTGGTCTTTTACAAGAGTTCTATCAAACCACTTTGAAAGCACTTGAAGAAGCTAAGAATGAGGTAATTATTACTTACTTTTTTAGGATTGCAATCAAGAAAGTATTCAATTTTTTTTGATACTGTTTTGTAGAGATTATGGTTCAAGACAAATCTTAAGCTTTGCAAGATCTGGTTTGACATGGGTGAATATGGTAGAATGAATAAGGTATGGCACAAATCTATTTTTAACTATTATATTTTTCAATCTGTTGTTGACTAAAACATTCATTGCATTTTTTAGATTTTGAAGGAGCTTCATAAATCTTGTCAAAGGGCAGATGGGACTGATGATCAAAAGAAAGGAACTCAGTTACTGGAAGTGTATGCCATTGAGATTCAAATGTACACAGAGACTAAGAACAACAAAAAACTCAAGGTAGAGAATCTTTAAATACTCAAATGTTATGTTATAAACTTTTGATTACGTGTAACAAAATATTTTGTATGTTTTGTTGACAGCAATTGTACCAAAAAGCCCTTACTATCAAATCTGCAATCCCACATCCTAGAATCATGGGAATAATACACGAATGTGGTGGCAAAATGCATATGGCAGAACGCCAATGGGCAGAAGCAGCTACTGACTTTTTTGAAGCTTTTAAAAACTATGATGAAGCAGGGAATCAAAGGAGAATACAGTGTCTGAAGTATGTCTAATTTTGTCATTTTCCATTAAACCTAATTTTGTAATGTTAATTGTCTCTAATCTTGCAATTACAGATACTTGGTGCTAGCAAACATGCTGATGCAATCTGAGGTCAACCCATTTGATGGTCAAGAGGCGAAACCGTATGTGACAAACTTGATTCTCTTTTTCTTTCTTTTTAAATTACTGTTTTACCCTTTCTGATTGCTAGCTTAATAACACCGCAGATACAAAAACGATCCAGAAATCTTGGCTATGACAAACTTAATCGCAGCATATCAACGTAATGAAATATTAGAATTTGAGAAAATCCTCAAGGTAAAAACTAAAAGATTGAACATGTTTATGTAATGCCAGCATAGGTTATATATGTACATAATAATTAAAAGAATTTATCTATGTGACAGAGCAACAGAAGAACAATCATGGATGATCCTTTTATCAGAAATTACATTGAAGATCTTCTGAAAAACATTAGAACCCAAGTGTTACTCAAGCTGATTAAGCCATACACTAGGATCAGGATCCCCTTCATATCCAAGGTATCATTTCAAATTTTTTTTTTTAATACTTTGATATAACTATTATTATACATACATGTGTGTGTGTGTGTGTGTTTCAGGAGCTAAATGTGCCAGAGGCTGATGTGGAACAGCTTTTGGTGTCGCTGATATTGGACAACAAAGTGCAGGGTCACATTGATCAAGTTAACAGGCTGTTGGAGCGTGGTGACAGGTTAAATTTTATATCTATATCAATAGTTACTGTTTGTGATTCCATTCCATTCTTGTGTTTGACTCTGGAATTGGAATGGTGGCAGGTCAAAGGGAATGAAGAAATACACTGCTGTGGAGAAATGGAACACACAGCTTAGGTCGCTATATCAAAGTGTTGGGAATCGAGTTGGTTGAGATTGAGGTTTGAAAAAAAAAATATATTGAATTGTGATGAGATTTTGTTTGTTTCCATCGCGGCATATTTTGTCCATCATGTCAAATTGGTAAAGTTTGTATCTAAAGGAAAAACTCAAGTCAAGTCGAGGATTAATGTCTTTTGATTATTGATTGCATTTGTGCATTTGGTATTTGGGCTGTGAGCGTGAGGTATATTGACAATTTTTGGAAACCTTTTCAGACTTTCATTATTCATCAATCCTATGGAGGAGTAGGTGAGTTGGTAAATGATAATTCAATTTACTCATTGACCATATCCATTAAATATAAAGTTAATAGTTTGCTCTATTTATTATTATTATTATTATTTTAAATTTTATTGCTATTGATTGATTGAAATTGGTTTTTCCTTTTCAAATAATTTTAGCGTTATATGAAAACTCTAATCGTATGTGTGTGTTTGGCATGCAGTTTTTAGCTCTTAAGAAATGTTTTAAACAATAAGTTTGTTTGGTGTTGGTAGTTTTTAGTTTTTATTATAAACAATAAAAGTTTGAATCTAGAAACTATTTCAAGTACTTTTTATGTGTGTTTAGTTTTTATTAATTTTACATTTTAAAAGCTAGCAATTAGTTTTGCAAAACACTTGTATAAATAGAAAGGAGGTGATATTTTCACTTATCTTTTTTAAAAAGCAATGTGATTTGTCTTTTAGAACAATGCTCGAGATTTATTCTATTATTCAATTAAAATATAGTGTATTGAAGTTATAATCATTTTTGTTTTCAAAATGGATGAATCAAAAATCTAAATTGAAGTATCATATTTATAAATAAAAGTATAACTTTCTACTATGTCAAACACAATCAGAATTATTAAAAGGCATTTGATTAGAGTTAGAAATAGTTATATAATTTTACAAATGCCCTTAGATTGATAAAAAGACATTTGATTAGATTAAATTAGCGTCTTTTAATAACCTTTTTGTTTGCTTCTCAAAATGTAATCATTTTAATTAAAAAAAAATTATTCAAAACCGATTCAATAAAGAAATTTGACTATCTTCAAAATCATCTTAATTTAAAAATCAAAGTTTCAAATAAACCAAGTTAAAAAATCTTAGTTCCTATTGACTTTTGTTAAGCTAAAGTTACATACTCACTCCGAGTTTGCTTTTTATATTAAAAAAAATCAAGATATTAATAATATTATTATTATTATCATCAAATAAAAGTTTATAAAATCACATTCGAAATTAGATTCGAAGTTTATTAAATTTAAAAACAAAAAGCTTAAAACGAGAATCAGAATAAAAAAAACAACTATACACGGTTGAAAGAGTCCCAGGAACCCTATTATTTGTTTCATTTGTATTCTCTTCCCTGCTACTTTGGTCAAAAGCGAGTCCAATACCTATCGATCGACCCACCCCACCCAACCACTCAGATTCATCATTGACCGACTCCGATACATCATCATAAATCAACGCTAACCAAACCCTCTTTCGCTAACTCTCCCTTGCAAAACTGGTAATCGGTTTTTGTTCAAACCCTCGTCAATCGAAGTTACAAGGGGGAAGAACTTAGCACCATCATATCATGGCTTGGGGCACCTTATTTGCTTTGGTAATCGTATTAGTAGCAGCGGCAGAGTTTACATCGACGGTTAGTGGAAATTCTGAAGGGGACGCGCTTTACGCCCTTCGCCGGAGCTTAAACGATCCCGATAAAGTACTTCAGAGCTGGGATCCTAATCTTGTTAGTCCCTGCACCTGGTTTCACATCACCTGCAATCAAGACAACCACGTTACTCGTGTGTAAGCCCTTCTCCTTTACACCCAAATTCCCAAATCCAGTCTGTTTTTCTGCTCTTACGGCATAAATTTTGTCTAGGCAACTTAAATTTCATCACCCTTTGGTCCAACATAGTCCATTTTGGCGGTCTCTTGTTCTAAAGATAAAATAGGGAAAATGATATTATTTTGGTCAACTGGAAACTCCTAATTACGCTCAACGTAGAAAGTTAACGAATTTTGAAACCTATAACTTAAGAAGTTTGAATCGGCTTTAAATTAGACAACCACACTGTTCAACTTTCAAAATCAAGGATGGATTTTTTTCTTGGAAGATGGAGTATTTTCTCCTAGTGTGCATAAACGATATTGATGTTCCCAAGTCTAACAAGATTCTCACTTCATTCAAGTCTGGACCTATTGGATTTTATAATCACCTGGACCATATGTAAAATGAAATTTTTTGAAGCTCATCATTTGCATTTGAAACCCAAAGAGCTTTGAGAGGGAGAGAGAGGGAGAGAGGGGGGGGGGGGGGAACTTGTAGTTGTAGATTGAGGTAGGTAAAGACTGATGTTGTTAAGTTCATCAAATTAGACCTGAGTTCTTGTTCTTGTTCTCATGTGACTTAACCCATTGTTCCCAAGCAGTGTTTTTAGGTTTTATGTGTTTCTTTGGTCATTTGATGAGCTTGGTGCTTTTTTCTGTAAATAGAATCACTTGTAATGTTCTGCTTGTGTTTAAGTAAATTTATGGAGAATGAAGCGAATTATGATGCAAGGATGGAAGGAAATAAAAGTGCCTCTAGGGAGTTCTTAGTAACAAAAAGCAGCTTATTAAACCTTTTCTGTTCTAATAAAAACAAATCTTAGGTACAAGTGTCACATACCTAATATAAATCATCTATAGACAACAGTAACACTTTCTTTTGTTTCCCTAAGATTTACAAATCTATATTAAGTTTGTAGTAGGTAGTTGTCAGATTGATCTCAAAACTTGAACAACTCTTTCTTCTATTGTAAAATCTATTCTTGACTTCATATTTACAATCAAATACTTATTAAACTAATTATGAAACCATGATTGATTATGTTACAATTGCTTTTTTACAGGGATCTTGGAAATTCAAACTTGTCTGGCCATCTTGTGCCTGAACTAGGAAAGCTTGAACATCTACAGTATCTGTGAGTTACTCAATTTCTTTTTACCTTGTTTCATTTAGTGGATCTTTAATTAGCTACAACATGAACTATAATAATTGCTGTAGGGAGCTTTACAAAAATACGATTCAGGGTACAATTCCTGCAGAAATCGGTAACTTGAAGAGCCTCATAAGCTTGGATCTGTACAACAACAATATCTCTGGCAAAATTCCACCTTCACTCGGGAAGTTGAAATCTCTAGTGTTCTTGTGAGTTTAACTAAAGTATTATTTACTCTCTAGTTTGACCAAAATGGTATATAAATTTATAAACTTGTGATTCTTGAATGGAACAGGCGTCTTAATGATAATCATCTAACTGGAAGAATCCCTAGGGAACTTGTTGGTGCTTCAAGCTTGAAAGTTGTGTATGTACTTATTCCTCTTCAACACTTCTTGTTACAAAATGTCATATACTAGTAAATAAACATTTATTTTTCAGGGATGTATCGAATAATAACCTATGTGGAACAATTCCTACCACTGGTCCATTTGAACACATCCCTTTGAACAAGTAAGTAAACATGTGTTTGCATGTATTGTTATTGAATTAGTTGTGTGGGATATAAATTGATAAAATGGTGGTTTGTTGTTGCAGCTTTGAGAACAATCCTCGTTTGGAAGGGCCAGAGTTGATGGGACTTGCAAGTTATGATACAAACTGCTCTTAAAAAATGTTGTTACTTGATGTTAATTGTTAAGTTTGCTGGATTTATATCAACCCATGGTGAGTTGCAAGAACTCTTGTGGTTGGCTAGTTTGTGTAAAATTATGTTATGTTATGTTTGTATGGGTGTCTGTTGTCTTGAAAAATATAAAATATTTGGTTATAACCAATGGAAGTTGTAACTTGAACATGTGTGTGTGACTGAGTTTCAGTTATAAACTTGTTTCCCCATATTTTGTGATCAGTTTTGGTTCATTGATATATAAAAAAAAATTATAATGGAATATGCGGTTTTTATAGAAACTATGTACAATATTGGATGTCAAATATCGATGTTTGAAGAGGACAAAGAAGAAGCGGTGAGTCAATAAGAATATTAATCATGTATTTTTTTGTCAACGAAATGATGATATGCTATTAGACAATTTGTCGGTTGATCTTGAAGTCAAACATGAATTTAATTGTATGGACAAGAAAAGCCATGGCCCATGATGACTCTTTCATAGGCATCAACTTACTATGTTACAGCTGTGCTACAAAGAAAAAAAAAATGATAGTGGAAGGCTCTTCGAGATGTGTTGTCATGGTGAATGCGCTTTCAAGTTATGGAAATCATGGATTGGTGAACATTTTTTCCAGATTACATCTTTGAAACTTTAACACAACTGTGCTAGGAATTTCAAGTTGGGTTCAACTGTTACATATTCTTGAATTGATACTCATTACACAAAGGAAATTTTGCGTGGAAATTGAGTATTAGACGATTAAGATTGGAGGTTATAATAAAGATCGCAAGAGATTAATCTTGGACAATGTAGGAGGGCCAAGAAAACATGCATCGACTCTTAAATGCGTTCTAAACATGAAATTTTCTAACATGTATTGTAAGGACATACATAAAATATTTATGAAAATATTATTATAATTAAATATAAGATAATTAATTATAGGGAATATTTCTTCCTGAAAAATATGAAATGAGAAATTAAATTTTCTCCTACTTTTTGTTCATATTTTGCTTCTTACCTATTTAAGATGATGACAAGTATATAAATTTAGAATCTCAATCAAATTTAAATTAAATTTAATAACACTTGTCACCATCTAAAATATGTAGGAGGATAGTAAGAATAAAAAGTAAGAGAGTATTTAATTTCTCATATGAAATATATTAGTTATGGAGAATATTCTGTATAATTAATGTATTTCATATTTAAGTATGGTAATATTTTCATAATAATATTTTCTATATGTCCCTTAAAACATTATGTTAGACTATGGTAATATATTGAAACGATTAGAAGTTCAAACTAAGTTTTATGTGTATTTGATGGAGTGAAAAGAGAGTAGATATAAGGTTCTCAAATGATAACCGGGTAGATGGTTGCTTCTTAAAATGTATATGCATAATGCATTGAGAAATTGATATGTGTTGTTGGTAATGATGTCGAACAATTAAAATTTTCTAATTGCTTTGGTTGTAGTTTGTGTAGTAAACACAAAAAACGAAAATTAATTTTTAGATTTCCTATTGGGTGATTTTGAACTCTAATTGACATGGTTTGACATAAATGTTTGAGCAATACAAGGTACATGATTATATTCCTTACATATATATGTTTTATTTACTTACTATTTTTTTCTTTAATTTGTTTATATTCTAGAGATTAGTTGAGGTTGTTAA